GGTTCAAACCCACCAGCCACTCCTCGGAAGGAAGGTTGGGCAATCCTACTTCCGTAGTGATACTGCCTCGGAAACCCAAGGAGGGGAGGGGTCGCTATGAGTCGGGGCCGACTCGATGGCACATAACAACAACAACAACAACAACAGGTTGGCCATTGCTGCCTTCATTTGTCATGTGGATCTGAGTTTCCATGTTTCCGAGTTCCCCAGGAACTTCTTTACTGTACCTTAAAGTGTAGGCTTATTGACAGCATGTTTCTTCAGCTTTTGTTTAGGTAGAATTGTCTTCATTTTGCCTTCATTTTGAAGGATTTTATTTTGCTGGTTGTGGAATTTTACATTGACAGTTGTTTTCTTTTAGCATTTGAAAGATGTTCTGTTCTCTGGCTTATGTTGTCTAATGAGAGGTTAGTGAGTTAGTGGTCATTCTTATCTTTATTTACTTGTATGTAATATGTCTCTCCCCAGGCTTCTTAAAAGATTTTCTCTTTATAATTGACTTTTTAACCATTTAATTTTGATGGACCTTTTGGTGACTTTTCTAGGAGTTGAATTACTGTATGTTAGACTATCTAATGTTGTCTAGTGAGTCTGTGAGACTGTACTTTATAATTGATGTTTTAGCCATTTGATTTTGATGGACCTTTTGGTCACTTTTCTAGGAGTTGAATTACATGTGTGTTAGACTGGCTAATGTTGTCCAGTGAGTCTGTGAGGCTCTGAACTCTTCCACCTCCAGCCTTTTCTCTCTCTGCTTCATTTTGAGTACTTTCAGGTGCCCTCCTTTGAGTTCATCGGAAGTGCTGTGAGCCTGTGCGTTTTTTTCACAGTGAATTTCTCACTTTACATATGGTATTTTTTATCTATAGAGTTGGGCTATCCTACTTCTGTAGTGATACTGCCTGGGAAACCCAAGGAGGGGTCGCTGTGTCAGGGGTGACTCGATGGCACATAACAACAACAAGAGGATTTTTGGTTCTTGATTATGGTTTCTTTTTTCCATTTGTTATGTTCATGTTTTCTTTTAACACTTTCAACATCTAAGTGCTTTAAAGCCCTCGTCTGCTAGTTCTCATCTCTGTCATTTCTGAGTCTGTTCCTGTTGGCTGATTTTTCTCCTTGGTGTGGGCCACATTTCCCTACCAGTAATGTGTGGTTAGATGCTGGACTTTGTGAATGTTGTTTTCTGAGTGTCTGGGTAGGTATTGTTTTCCTCTTTTAACTGTGTTGAATTTTGTCCTGGCAGGTAGGCAGACCATCTTTTTACTTTGTTAGAGCAAGGCCAGCATGGCTTTACTCTGGGGCTAATTGAATCCTAGGGTATGGCCTTCCCGGGTCTCTGCAGAATGCCCTGAGTAGTCAGTGCTGTCTTTTCACTGTCCAGTTTGAAGCTCCCTGTTTTTGAGCCCAGGGTGAACCCAGGGGGGCTGGAGCTCTCTGCTTCACAGTGCTGTCCATTGCCCAGCCTCCTGTGTTTAACACATGTGGAACCTGTGCCGCCATGCTGATGTGTGGCTGTGCCCTAACTCTGTTGTCTTTCTCTTCCAGGCTGTGGTGGTGCCCCAGAGCGGCGGTCAGCTGTGGGTCTTTGGAGGGGAGTTTGCCTCTCCCAATGGGGAGCAGTTCTACCACTATAAGGATCTCTGGGTGCTGCACTTGGCCACCAAGACCTGGGAGCAAGTCAAGTAAGACACCTGTTGGGAGCCTCACCCTCCACTGTGCTGACCTTCCCCTTGCCTGGCTTTCTAGTTTGGGGCTGTGGGGAGCTTAGAGTACAGAACCCTAAGAGTATAAGAGGAGTTGGGAAGTGCTCACTTCCTCCCGTGTGGGTCATCTCTGTCCACTGTCATCCACAGCGTGGCTTATTTTGTCGTCCCTGTGTTGTCAGCCTCTGCGCATACCCTCAGGTACCAGTACAGGTCTCCGGTGGACCAACTTTTCACCTCCTCAGGGTGCCCTCAGGCTCTGATCTTCTGGAGGTGGGGTTGCCCCGTAGAGGTGCCTTTCTTACTAGGGGGGCCCACTGGTCTGTGTTGCAGTGAGCCAGCAGGGAACTGAGCTGAGCAGGCTCCCTGTTCTGTTGGCGCCTTGTTCTGCGACTGTTGATAAGAGTGGTGTCAATTACACATTTGTCACAGGGCGTCAGAATGGTCAGAAGCTAGTGTCTGCTTCTGTGCGCACAGACAGACAGTAGAGTTGGACATACAGTATGGTATTTAAGAGAAGCAGCATGGCCAGTCACAGGTGTGAAGTCTAGGGCATGGGCTCTGCTGCCAGTTGGGCATGGCTGGAGTGCTTGCCTGGGACCATGTGCCTTGAGTACTTGCCGTCTCTTCTGCTGTTAGGGTAACTAAGCAGGAGGGTCTTTGCTTCAGTGAAATGGGTAAGTGTACTGGAGACTTTAATGGGGACACAGGGCAGGGTCTTTCTCAAGTCTAAGCCCTTTAAGTAGAGGGGAAGTACCTCTGTGGGTTGCACTTGCCATCCAGTGAGGCGCCTTCAGGTGATGCTGCTCCTGGGGCTGCTTCTCTGCTCCGACAGGTGTAGAATTGAGAACCCAGAAATAGATCCTTCTGCCTATGGTCAGCTGATCTTTGACAAAGGGCCAAAATCCATTAAATGGGGCTTAGCCATTGTGCATGTGGCAGTGCCCTTGGGCCCACCGGCTCAGCCACTGCTGAGAAGGCCTTGAGCCCCTCTTCTTCAGGCTGGAATGAGAAAGGGCGCCGGTGTGGACTATTGTGCATCGGCGGCTGCATCCCTATCTCCTTGCTTTAGGAAGGTTCCTTACCTTAATAGACACAGCACTGAGGAAATACACTCTCGTTAAAAAGATGGTGCCTTACATAGAAATCAGTTGGATTTCTCTACACCAACAAAGAGATCTCTGAAAAGGAAATAAGGAAAACAACACCATTTATGATAGCTACCATGAAGATAAAATACTTAGGCATAAATCTTGTCAGGGACATCAAAGACCTATACAAAAAAACTATACAACACTACTACAAAAAAAAAAAATTGTAAGAGTTGCACATATATGGAATAATATCCCATGCTCACGGATAGGAAGACTGAATGTTGTGAAAACGTCAGCACCACCCAAAGCAATCTATAGATTCAGTGCAATCCCATTTCAAATTCCATCAACATTCTTTAAGGATGTGGAAAAATCAATCACTAATTTTATATGGAAAAGAAAGAGCACGGATAAAGCACTGCTGAAGAAGAAGGACGTAGGAGGTCTCACGCTGTACAATTTCAAAATCTACTGTACAGCCACAGTAGTCAACACAGCCTAGTACTGGTACAATGACAGACACACAGACCAGTGGAACAGCATTGAGAACCCAGAACTAGATCCATCTGCCTGTGCTCAGCTGATCTTTGACAGAGGGCCAAAATCCATTAAATGGAGAAGAGATAGATAGTTTCTTTAACAAATGGTGCTGGGAAAACTGGATCTCCATTTTCAGAAAAATGAAACAAGATCTGTACCTCACACCATACACAAAAACTAACTCCAGATGGATCAAAGACTTAAATGTAAAACTTAAAACTATAAAGGTCATCAAAGTAAAAATAGGGGCAAACTTAGGGGCCCTAATTTATGGTATAGATAGACTGTCAAGCATAACTCTAGATGATTGGGACCTTCTACAAATTAAATTTTTATGTGCTTCAAAAGACTTCTCCAAAAATAATAAAAAGAGAACCGAACTTACAGATTGGGAAGAAATGTTTGGCAATGACATAGACAACAAGGAGCTTTTCTCTAGAATTTATAGAAAACTCGAACAGCTCAACATCAGAAAGACAATGCAACTCAAAAATGGAGAAAGGATATGAGCAGACACTTTACCAGAGAAGATACTCAGGCAGCCAACAAACACATGAAGAAACACGATCATCAACCACTAGAGAGATGCAAATTAAAACAACCAAGAGATACCATCTCACCACAGCACTAATGCTAATGGCAAAGTTCAGTAAGACAGAAATACCAAATGCTGGCGAGGATGTGGAGAGTTTGGGGCTCTCATACACAGCTGGTGGGACTGTCAAATGGTACAACCAATGTGGAAATCAGTATGGTGATTCCTTAAAAAGTTGGAAGTAGAAATACCGTTTGATGCAGCAATCCCATAGCTAGGAATATATCTGAAAGAGGTGAGACCTGGGTCATGAATAGATAATGCACACCCATGTTCATCATAGCACTGTTGACAATAGCAAAGAGATGGGAACAACCTAAGTGCCCATCAATAGACGGATAGATATCCAAAACATGGTACATACACACAATGGAATACTATGCAACGTTAAAGAATAATGTAGAGTTAGTGAATCACCTTATAACATGGATGAGCTTGGAAGACATTATGCTGAATGAAGTAAGTCAATCACAGGACAAATATTTTATGAGTCCATTATTGTAAAAAGTCAAGAAAAGTTTATACAGTAAAGGCAGTTTTCTTTGTTGGTTTCCAGGGGTGGGAGGAGAGGGGAAGGGAGGGACGATAGATGGCTAATTAAGAGACAGGGTTGATGTGGGTAAAGCAATAAAAAAAAAAAAATGTGGTGTCTTTATGTGTAAGTTGGAAGTCCGTTGTTACAGAGCATGGGACCGTCATTGACACTCTGTTGTCTTCATTGATGACATTGACCTATCTGGCAGCAAAGATGCTGGTCATCGGAACAGTCTGTAAACAAGAGGACAGCCTAGAGCGTTACGTTACCAGTGTGGGTGGAAGACCAAGGCCAACATGAACGTTTGCACCTGCCACCTCATTTCTCACTCTGGACTCAGTTGACCACTGTGAACGTGAAGAGGTCTTTGCCTTAACTGGGAGGTGCCTGCAAACTGCCCTGGTTCTGCAGACAGAGAGTCCAGATATAAACAGCATTTTTTATTTTTAATTGTGGCATGTTTTCAGCATGTGTGCAATTGTGTAAGTTTAAAGGAAGTTCGACATCAAAGGCAGGACTTGGCACCTGCCACTCTGCTCTGTCACGCTCAGGACGGGGCATTTCTAGCATATAGCCATGTGGGACTTGGGAGAGGCTGTGGGGAGAAAAGGGGCCCCCTGCCCTCCTGTAGTGGCTTGCATATCCTCACTCAGATCCACATCCGCTCAACCTGTACGTGTGCCGTGTCTGGGAAGAGTCTGCAGACAGCATCGAGTTAATATGAAGTCATGCTGGGTTGCCTGTGTCAGTCAAGTGACTGGGTATCCAGTGAGTGTGACCTCACAAAGAGGAGAAACTGCACAGACGCAGAGGGAGAGGCTGTGTGAAAGACGGAGGCGGAGGTTGGAGCGATGTGTCTACACCACGGGACCCCTGGGATGCTGGCAGCCACCAGAAGCTTGCAGAGAGAGTTGGTGCAGGTTGCTCCTAGACCGCTGGGAGGACCCGACCCTGCTGACGCCTCACTGTGGGGCTTCTGCTCCCGAGCTGTGGAGGCTTAGACACCAGCTCGTGGTGCTTTGCCGAGGGTGACTTCAGAGACGGATGCACCTCCTGTTTAAACACCGAGTGGCTCCCGGCAAAGCAGACTGGAGACTGAAATTCAGGGAAGAAGGAGGGTTCTGGATTCTGGCTCTGCTGTGTATTAGCTTAGATTGGTTCTTGATTTCGTTCTTTTTTGGTCTGTTCTTGATTTCTGAGTGTTGGTTTTCATACCTGTGAACTGGGAATAAAGATCTGACCTGTGTTGTGAGGTCATTGTGAGGAATGTGCAGCCCAGAGCAGACACCTCACAAATGGTAGTTGTGTTGTTAATAGTGGCGTCAGTTCAGGCAAGTAGAGAAGAAGCACATAGCTTTGTGGGCTGCTGCATTCTGAGGACTGCTGGAATTACTCCATATAATGTGGTTAGACTGCCAGTACGGACCAAGCCCACAATTTGTTGGTTAATTGGTTTGATCCTTGGAAATATTGTTGTTGTTGGGTGCCATTGAGTTGGCTCTGACTCATTGTGACCCTTTGTGCAACAGAATGAAACAATGCCCATTACTGTGCCGGCCTCACAATCCCTGCTATACCCGAGCCCATTGTTGGAGCCACTGGGTCAATGCGTCTTGTTGAGGGTCTTCTCCTGTGTTGTCGACCCTCCACCTTACCAAGCACCATACCCTTCTCCAGGGAATGGTCCCTTCTGACAACGCGACCAAAGTAGGTGGGATGAAGTCTTGTCATTCTCACTTCCAAGGAGCATTCCGGCTGCATTTCTTCCAGGACAGATCTGTTCTTTTAGTAGTCCATGGTACTTTGAACATTCTTTGCCAACACACAACTCAAAAGCATCAACTCTTCTCGGTCTATCTTATTCATTGTCCAGCTTTTCACATGCATATGAGGTTATTGAAAGTACCATGGCTTGAGTTAGGCGCACCTTAGTCTTCAAAGTGAAGACTTCCCTTTTCAGCACTTTAAAGAGATCCTTAGAAAAGGAGGGCAGAATTGCCACAGTGTACTGTTTACGTGGCACAAGCTTAACTAAGTTGTCCCTATTGTGATCATTCTTGGCCAACACCTTTTCTACTCTGAAGATGAACCTCTGGACTGCATTCCCTATGACCTTGGGCCTCACTGGTTATGATGGAGGTTGTGCCCTGGCTAAGTAAGTGTTCCTGGCTCCCTGGTTCAGCAGTGGTGCAGTATCTTATAAGTTTGTAAGGTG